CCAGTCAAAGCTTATCCTGTTGCAGGTGAAGCCATTCCCTCTTGGTCTATCACTAATTATCTGTGAGAAGAAACCAACACCAACCTCTCTACGATGTCCTTCCAGGTAGCTGTAGAGAGCAATGAGGTCTCCCCTCAGCCTCCTCTTCTTCAAACTAAACAGCTCCACCTCCTTTAATCATTCTTCATGAGGTTTATTCTCCAGGCTCTTCACCAGCGTCGTTGCCCTCCTCTGTGCTCATTCCAGCACCTCGAGATCTCTCCTGTATTGAGGTGCCCAAAACTGGATGCAATACTCACCAGTGCTGAGTGCAGGGGGACAATCACCTCCCTGCTCCTGCTGCTCACACTGTTTCTAATATAAGCCAGGATGCCATTGGCCTTCTTGGCCACCTCATGTTCAGCCACTTGTTGATTAGGACTCCCAGGTCCCTTTCTGCCTGACAACTTTCCAGCCACCCTTCCCCAAGCCTGTAGCATTGCAGGGGGTTGTTGTGGCCCAAGTGCAGGACCTGGTACTTGGCCTTGTTGAAGCTCATCCCGTTACCGTTGGCTCATCGATCTAATCTGTTCAAGACTCTGTAGACTCTGTAGAGCCTCCCTATCCTTGTGTAGATCAACGCTCCCACCCAACTTGGTGTCATCTGCGAACTTACTGATGATACCTTCAATGTCCTTATCAAGATCGTCAATAAAGATGTTAAACAGAAACAGTCCCAACACTGAGCCCTGAGGAATGGCCCTGACCAGCCATCAGCTGGATTTAACTCCATTCACCACCTCTCTTTGGGCCTGTCCATCCAGCCAGTGCTTTTATCCACAAAAAGAGCAGTCACGCTCTTTTTGCAAAATCATTTCTGCTCTGTTCAGAGGAGTTGGTTCTGAGTAACTTTAAATCAGCTGCTGTCTCAGATTTATTGGAGCAAACTGAAGCAATAAATTTATTTGTTTCAACTACAAAGTCCGAGGAGATAGTTCCTAAAGCTCTAGGCTTCGACGCACAAACAATAAAGCTGCACAGTTCATCCACGGAGGGAGAAAGTAAAACCCAATTCAGATACTGTGAAGTGTTTTTAAAATTGTTTTAAGATTCAGAGCTAGAAATGCCTAACTTGATTCTACCAGGATCAAGTAAAAAAAACCATAAAAATCACCAACCAATTGCCTAAATGCCCTACAGAAAGCAAATTACACTGGCAAATTACACCTTTTGACATTGCAGAATCTTCAGCAGTATCATCAAGACTACTCTAGCTGCGGGTGAGTAGCTCCTCCAACTCACGGCTGCCTTCCATGCCTTTCTCTTCAGAGGATTAGCCGCTTTCAGATTCTTTTTTTTTCATTCCTGAAGGCATTCCAGTTGGAGAAATCCCTGCAATTGTGACTAGCCACACACTACTATGTTGCAATTTATGAGGAAAATCCTTTAGACAGCAGTGCTAACAGAAACTGCACCTCTAAAAACAAAAGACTATTGTCAAAATGCCATGGTAGCCTACTAAGCACTTCAAAATATTTATCTGCAAATGTTGAGGTAGATGGATTTAGAGACGAGTGATAAAGAGCAGTATTGCAGTCACTTTAAGGAGAACAACAGAGATAAGCCAAAATGCCTAATATAGTCCCTACAATGTGTAGTAAAATACATATCTGATTTCCCAATTACAAAGGAATTAAAACATTTTAACAAAGGAATATTCTAATGATCGTGGCTTACCAGAAAAAAAAAAAGGAAATAAAACTAGAAATGTGCCACTGCTATAAAAGTGAGTGTGCTATTTTCACTCCCTGCTGTACTGCTAATGTCAAAGGATCTTTTACTCCATACAGGAGTATTTGTGATTACAGGACGTATATATACTGTCCAAAGGTGACAAGGCTTCTACAAACGTCCAGGAAGACTTGCAGAGTAACTGGTAACAACACACTGGAATAACAATACTCCAGCTATCGATAAGGGCAATGGGTCAAAAGGAAAAAGTATACCCCTTGAAAACATGTTTCAAACGAATTTCAATACTGCACCCCAAAACAGAAATGTAGTTTTAAGCACCTTTTATTTTAGGAAGAATGATGCCTGGGAAAAAAAAATAAAAGAGGAGAGGTCTTAAAAGCTGAAAACCGCATCAAAAATATTGTTATGGAAATATCTCTGATTTAAACAAGAAAAAAGCAGTCTTTCTGCTACGAATCCCAGACACGGCCCAAAATCTCCCTGCTAACACATAAAGAAAGCTTTTGGGCATGAGACTCATACAGTGGAGAAACCAAGTCTGCAGACCATCATTTCTACCTACGAAAGCTGAAGAGCGGAATTGGCAAGTGAATTGACCGTGAGACACGAGAGAGCAACTCAGACACAGCCTTGAATGGGAGGAAGAGAATCAGCACAGCTGGGAAATCTCCTCCAGGCAAAAGGAACCAGACCATTATGAGCTTCCACGTGGATGATCACCAGCAATACAAAACCAGAAAAAAAAAAGACCCTAGTTTAGCCTTTTACCCCTAAGGCCAGTATATTTAACCGGC